AAGACTGTGTCATAGGTGTCTTACTCCCAAACTGAGGGCATTATTGTGACAGAAGGCGAGGGTTCAAGTGCCAGTCCATTCAACATGAATACTATTGGAAAAAAGCTGGAGCAAATAGTAACTGTGCAAAATTTTTTGGCCACACAGTTGCATGCCATTCAAGNCAGTCCATTCAACATGAATACTATTGGAAAAAAGCTGGAGCAAATAGTAACTGTGCAAAATTTTTTGGCCACATAGTTGCATGCCATTCAAGAATGCATGAAGGGATCTTTGGAAAAGTTGGAGAGTAAGATTGATGGACTTTACAAGGAATTTAAAAAGTATGGAAAGAAATGTTGATGGGTTTTGTGTGGAAGAAATTCCTATGAATGTATATGCTTGTAAATCTTTTGGGCTTTATTAGATTTGGCCACCTTGTAACCTATAAAATGTAATCAATTCTGTTAAACAAAATCTTTTAGCAATGGAATGAAATATTTTTTTGTAGTGTTGTTAATAGTATTTTTTACAAATTCATTATATCCAACAACATTACAATATTATCTTAACATCAAAATGTAGTAACCTTACATAAACATGTAGTAACCTCTCATCAAAATGTTATAACCTCACCGCTAAAGATTATAACTNGTAGTAACCTTACATAAACATGTAGTAACCTCTCATCAAAATGTTATAACCTCACCCCTGAAGATTATAAATGTTATAAGGTTGCCTTGTTCCACTAACAGGAGTAATACAACAAAGCAATGACCCTTGTATAGAGTAGTAGTTCCTCCCTCTCAGTCATCTTTGTTTACCTCCTAAAATTCCATATATTTCCCCATACCAAAATACCAACTGGACATAAGTGAAATAGTGCATAATATTTGTTAGTTCAACAACAAAGCAACATACATTGGAAAAAGAATGCAACAACATATCGATCAGTTGGATAGGCCAACGTGTAGAGGATAAACATGTAAATGAGATTAGTAATATAACAGTAAGTGAATCTCACCTAGTTCGTGTTGGTTAAATAGCAATTGTAGACGTTTGGCACTCCTNCAACGTGTAGAGGATAAACATGTAAATGAGATTAGTAATATAACAGTAAGTGAATCCCACCTGGTTCGTGTTGGTTAAATAACAATTGTAGACGTTTGTCATTCATAATTTGTGTACATGAAAGTTGTCCAAAAATGAGTTTTGTACATCAAACTTGTCCAAAAGTGGGGGTTCTACATTGTGAAATTTTTTTTTTGAATTTTTAGTCAATTTAAATAATGTTCATTATGCAACTTTCAAAGCGATATGAAAATGGTCACCTTGACAACCCTTAAAGTGGAGTGAAAAATTGTCCATGACCACTTNATTGTGAAATTTTTTTTTTGAATTTTTAGTCAATTTAAATAATGTTCATTATGCAATTTTCAAAGCGATATGAAAATGGTCACCTTGACAACCCTTAAAGTGGAGTGAAAAATTGTCCATGACCACCTGACTGAAAGTCATGAAAGCCATCCTGAACGGTCAATGTATCGATAAAGAATGGTCAGTTAAATGGTGCATTGCTTGATAACTTATAAAGTAGCAAATACAAGGGGAAGTTTGTGTTATAAAGATGTTATTGAACTCCACCCATGTTTACGTACATATGCGAATGGGTTAAAAGGTTCCTGAGTCGGCAAAGGTTGTTGGNGACTGAAAGTCATGAAAGCCATCCTGAACGGTCAATGTATCGATAAAGAATGGTCAGTTAAATGGTGCATTGCTTGATAACTTATAAAGTAGCAAATACAAGGGGAAGTTTGTGTTATAAAGATGTTATTGAACTCCACCCATGTTTACGTACATATGCGAATGGGTTAAAAGGTTCCTGAGTCGGCAATGGTTGTTAGGATCCACCTGCTTGTGAAAAGGGCATGTCCTCATATGGATCAGTAGTCTGGGTTGTGAACAAAGGACATTTACGAATATTATGCCCGGTTGCCCTGCACTTGCTACATTTTTGGGACGTAAATGGATTATTATTTAGTGTACGAATTGGATGTCCCTTTGTTGTAACAATATGTGGATCAGCTACCCCAAACTTATTTAACTTAGTAGTCCTGTTTTTGTGTTGTGAAGAGGTCTCATCTACTCTACCAAGGGATTCATGATTGGTCTTCATCTGAGAGGTTAATCCATGCAATGTACTTCTTAGGTCCTGAGTTGCTTTGTAACCATGCGAAGTACAGTAACACATACGACTACACATGACCATTAGTCCAGCATACCGGGTCGAAATTGTCAGAGTGTTACTTCTTAGCAGCATATCATCATTTCCTAAATCTCCCTTTGCAAAAATAGTCCAGCGCTTCAGAATGAGACTGGGAGGGAATCATTTAATGTGCTCATATTTTAGTACTGTTATGATGTGGCAGCATGGAATACCAACAAATTCCATTTTCAGGCTGTTGTACTTCATACTATAATTTTTAGGAGAACATATGACAATCCATGTTGATTCTGGTTGCGTGTAGTGAGACAAGTAGTAACTCCAATGGATCCCGTTGTCAATTTTTTGGATTACAAAGAACATGGATTCGGAATTCAACTTATTGCGCACTTTGAAGAACAATTTCCTTGTATATATGGATGATGCATGCTCTTTAAGACACCGCAATTGTGTGGTTGTCACCGGGGATGCATGTTGGATATCATGATCATCATTTACTTCATTCTCCTTGATCTTTGCCAAAGCCCGGTCGTATTGCCTCACAAACTCAAAAAGTCAGAGACGGGTCTTCAGAAAATGATTGAAGTATGAGTTCATACCCTCACATCGTTGTGTACTTTTTATGCCGGCAAAGAATTGACCTCTTAAATATGCTTCAGCCCACTTTGACCGTTTGGAATAAACTTCTGATATCCAATTATTATTCTCCAATCCAAATGAATCCACCAACGTTTTCCATCGATCCTCAAATTCGTCTGGACTACAGCGACCACATATACAATGTTTAAATTGTTGAACAAAATTTTCAGCACTAATATTTGACAACGTATTTCTTGTCAAATGCCACCTGCATAATCTGTGTGTTGAATTGGGAAAAACTTGCTCTATTGGTCCTGCTATGGCCTTATTACCATCGGTGACAACTGAAATAGGTGTCTTATCCTCCATTGCATGAAGAAAAGTATACAATACCCACATGTATGTCGCAACAGTCTCATTTGAGAGCAAGGCGCACCCAAAAATTNCACATCGGGTTAACACATGCGGATTCAAAATTAATTTTGACTTCTTCCTGTAAATTAACTCCATTAAAACAGAACTCCCACCCACCCACTCCCGCTATTCATTTCCCATTTGTTTAATTTCCCCCCTGCATTCTGTATTTCTTTCTATCTCTCTGTTAACCCTTCTCTCTCTCTACACCACTGCCCCCTCCCAGGTCATTCTCCCCCACCACCACGCAACCCACTCCGGCAACGGTGATCTGCCATCACCACAGCCCCACACGTCTATCACAACCATCACCCCTTCATCCTTTCTCCCCACCACCATGCCAACCCACTCTGGAGACCCACTTCGAAAACGACAAGACTCTTTCACAAGTATATCTCTCTTGCTCTCTCTCTCTCTCTCTCTCTGGGTTCTCAAATATGTTTGCAACTGGCTGTTTNAGAAAAACGAATGTTGATGTTGGGAATAGTATGACTGACAAGATGGTAGCCGCTGCATTTTCGTAAGGTGGGAATTCGGGTGTTACTGGGAAGACGAAACGAAGGGTATGTAATATGAACACACCATTAACATGGACTATCTCTGCATTATAACATAACTTATATGTTTTGATATCTTTATTTGATGCATTACATGTCTATTCAGATACTAATGGGTACACGGTGTTTGCCATCAAGTATCATAAAAGTTGTAAATGGGTTAACTGACGCTCAGAAACGTGCAGTTAAGGCAATGGGTTTAGAAGGTTTGACCACCATGAAATGCACTGTGGTCAAGAAGAGTTTGTGCGAGTGGTTGGTTAAAAAATTTGATCCCACTACGACTGTGTTACATGTCCATGGTAAATCAATTAAGTTCTCCCCTGAAGATGTTTATTACATATTGGGGTTGGCAAACACAGGTAGTGAGTTGGACAATACTGGTTCTTCGGACCAAACAGAGGAACTTCAAAAATCAATTTTTAATGGACAAAGGGAGCTCTCGTTGAATACTGTGGGTGGTAAACTGAAAAAATTGAAGCATGATTCATTTACTTATAGGCGCCTATTTGCTTTATTCATAATAGGCCGCCTTCTTTCCCCAACAATGAAAATGACAATTAATAGTTCATACGCTAAAGTCCTTGTGGATGTAAATGCATTATCTTATATAAACTGGAGCAAATTTGTTTATGATGGTATTATTGATGGAATACAAAATTTCAAGGAAAAATCAAGGTGTAATATTTGTGGTTGTATCATTGTGCTACAGGTATTGCATTATTTACGTTTTTGCTAATTCATTGTATTACTTTCTTATTCATGGCATTTGTAGTAATTACTTGAACGTTATTGAACCATTTGCAGATTTTTTATTTTGAGCGCGTCACACTAGCGGGAGAATCATCCATTCCATTTCTGTCACGGCCATTCCCTCGAATGACAATTTGGGGGGACAAAGAAATAGGCCAATGCATGAATGCATTGAAAAAATTGGGTGGCTACAAAAAATAAGGAGTAACTTATGAAGGATATTATACTTTTTAATTCTAGTTTTATTGTTTTCTCTATTCATAATGGAAGATATGTTTTATATATCGTATGGTATTAACTAATCTTTGGATTATCGTAGCTAATGGTTACAATTGAAGAGTTACTGACTGTGGCTGACCAATATGATGGACGCAATGAGAGGACAAAATTTGAACATTCAGTAAGTGTTCCTGTCACTGATGCAAGGAGTAAAGTGAGGACAACAGGCGTGTCTTACGAGCAAAACATGCAGGTTACCTTTATGTAGGATATATATGGAGGTAGAACAATAAAAATCAATATTAATAATATTTTCCGTGAGTGCCACTTCAATGTGTTATGTAGGATTTTGACAAGAGATTGTCTAAGGTTGAGGTTTCATTGTCTGAATTTCGATCCGACCATGAAGCATTGTCTGCCAAGTTCACAGATGAAGTAACTGAAATAAAAAAGATGCTGAAAACGCTTTCTGAACAGATGTGTAAAATTGGGAGAGAACAACCTACAAAAGAGNTTGACAAGAGATTGTCTAAGGTTGAGGTTTCATTGTCTGAATTTCGATCCGACCATGAAGCATTGTCTGCCAAGTTCACAGATGAAGTAACTGAAATATAAAAGATGCTGGAAACGCTTTCTGAACAGATGTGTAAAATTGGGAGAGAACAACCTACAAAAGTGNATTTGATATATACATGCATATTTGTATGTACAAGCACGAAAGTTGTGTAATCTCCACATCTGTTACGTAATTTTTCCTTGTAAAAATTGACCTACTTAATTGTGTTTGGCGTACTTTCAAAATTAGTGGAGTAGTTATGGAAAATTTTGCCTACGACTACAATAAAACCTATAAACACACACACATCATATACAGATAGAAAGGGAGNTGTCTGTCCACGTGAGTACACTATATTACCGTGTTATCCTTTACCATAGTACTTGTGTGTGCTGCTTTGTATATTATATATGGTGTAAAATGTGAACCAGAGATTATTCGATGACAATGAAACTGAGGTTTGGGCTGACAGCACGAACAAGGTTTTTTTACACACAAATTTAAACTAATTAAATTTTTTAGTGCACATGGACCTAAAATGGCAGACACTCCACTTTCAGGTTGTTGATGGATTGGTTCCCCATATTACTAATGTTAGTGATGAAGTAGGAAATGCAATATTGCACTACATTTTTCATGAGGGACTTGATGTAGAGTATGTCACAGTTACTACCATTCCAAGGTGTTTATTATTTGCAATTCTTATGCAAATCATACCTTACATGTTGTAATTTGACAATGAGATGATTGTTCAGTTTAAAAATTTTCATGTGACAAAAATGACAATGAAGTCATTGGGACCCAGACAATGGTTGCCGAGCGAGGTGAGTTATATAATTTTCCCATTTTTTTATACCCACTTTTGAATTAACTGGCGATTGAATACATGTATGCAATTCTAAATATGTTTAATTCTGTACACAGTTAATCAATGTCGCTGCATGCATTATGCCACACATAGAAATGGGGAACAACGACACACAGAAGGCCAGGTGGTATATTCTGACGTGGTTTGCGGTAATACTCCACAATAAATTTTTGGTTTTACGTGATTTTCTTCAGTCACTATGGTCATCTTGTGTTTTAATGTTCAATATAAAGTTACGTCTTTATAATTTCACAAATCCTTAAATTGTAGTAAACAGTTAATTAGTTTACATCTGAGGGGAAAACTGGTGTGATCCTGCAACGAAAACTCATGAGAATGTGTGGCTGATACATCCATGACATTGACGTGTGTGCGAAGGTTTGACTAGATAAAAACTCACAACAGATTCTGCATTACTAAATCATAATCTATCAAAGTATGTATGTCAACATAGTGTACTGATTGCAATTGGCTTATGTAGATCTATGTCCCCATTAACGATGACCAAAAACATTGGTACTTATACGTTGTGGACATACAACAGGAAGAAGTCCTCCTACTGGATACTCTTCCAAGTCGAACAATGAAGCACGCACGATGTAAGCAAGTAGATGATGTGGTATGTATGATCTAATTTGGAATGCAAAATATGGTCCATGCAACTCATTCGAAGGTGGATTTGGTAAGTGTAATTTATTGCATTGTATGATTGCGTAGGTTGCGGCATTGGGTAACTTATTTGCCTGTTTAACACAAAATTTGAAAAAGTAATCAGTACATGGCCCGTGATTCAACCAAGTTGGACACCCAAAGAGGTCAATGGATATGATTGTGAAATTCACGTTGTCAATATGATCCATCAACCTCATCTGGGGCAAACTATAATGAAGGTGTAGTATAAAAAATGTTTATTTTTCTTCCTTAAATAAACNTTCGAAGGTGGATTTGGTAAGTGTAATTTATTGCATTGTATGATTGCGTAGGTTGTGGCATTGGGTAACTTATTTGCCTGTTTAACAAAAAATTTGAAAAAGTAATCAGTACATGGCCCGTGATTCAACCAAGTTGGACGCCCAAAGAGGTCAATGGATATGATTGTGAAATTCACGATGTCAATATGATCCATCAACCTCATCTGGGCCAAACTATAATGAAGGTGTAGTATAAAAAATGTTTATTTTTCTTCCTTAAATAAACTGTTTTGCACATGTTATAACACTTAAAATTGTATACAGGCATCGTCGTCAAATGTTAGAAAGGATCTGGCATTAATGTTTGTTACCAATCTACACAATACTAAGCGAGATGAAATAATTGGCAAGTCATTGAACCTCTTGGACATAAACTTACGATGAACCTGGATGCATCTGTATATTTTTGAGACAATGTATATACCGACTCCAAGGTGGCATGAACACTTGCTACTCAACACCAATTAGGAGAAAAAACTCAGCCAACTATCAGAAACATGTCAACTCTGCCAAATTTACTGCTTTTTCTGACGTGAGTCACGTTTCCATCTCTCCCTCTGCTACGTTTTCTCTCTGTACTGCAATACAATCATTTTTTTTATTGGTAAATTAAGTTGTTTGCTGGAAATTTTGAGAGGTATGACTTTATTGGATGGACTAACAATTATAGCAGTATGGGTTGGAGGTGCTCATGTTTTGGTAAATATGATGTTGGGTAAAGTGATTTGTTCTTGAAAATTTTGGACTGTTCTAAAATATATACACAGGATTTTGAGCAGACTTGATTTCCAGATTGATCATGTGTACAAGGAAGTAAAAGGTGTAGCTGATGTTTTAACAATAAATGTGTTTCCAAGCAGAATTTCAATAGATTTATCTGTTTTTTTCCTCTTCCTAGTTATGCAAAGCTTCTATGGATGCAAAATCAGCAAGGTCTTCCAGATTTGAGGAAGACGAATTTTTTGGTTTTTCGTGTGACACCCCAAAATCCGGGGGTCCTCTATTAACTATTGACCACCCGTCAACCCGCGAAAATACCCGTGATTGTTGCCCACTCCGGCATCACGTCAATAATATCCCTTTGTCTGAGATTATAACTCACACGTGTAATCCGTGTTCCTTTAATCATTTAATCTCATCGAGGTTCAATACACCTCAATGTATCTCTTTTAAGGTCCATTTGTGTCATTGGAACCAAAGAACACATAGCCCCAAAAGTATGGTAATGCATTTTTAAATTTTCAGATTTTTGGAAAACCTTCCGGAAGGTTTTACTCACTGGAAAAGTTCCTTTAGAGATTTCTCATCGACTTTCCGCAAGGTTTCCTCAACCTTCCGGAAGATTTAGCATACTGGAATCCTATTTTAAAGAAAGATGTGTCGACCTTCCGGAAGAAGTTACACACTGGATTCCCTCATTTTAGGAAAATGTGAAGACCTTCCGGAAGGTTTCACCCACTGTTCCAGTTTTTCCTTTTCTCTATTCCAAACCTTTCGGAAGGTTTTGCCCTGAATTGTCTGTTTCATATATTTTTCATTTTCAATTCATCCAAAATATTTCCAAACTCATTCCCAACATGTAAAATATAGTTTTCTACACTTTACATGATCCATACAAGTTCTATCCCATTAATTCCACATGATTACAAGCCCATTTACACAATTACATGCTCAAAATGGGATTTTACAAAATTTTTACAAAAACTTACTTCAAAAGCCACAAATCGGCTTTTCTTCATCGTTGAGGCCCCGAATATGAGTCTTCTACTAGTACAAACCCCGCACCTGAAATGTTTCCTGTATAGGGTGAGCTACGCGTGGTAGAGTATTTCATATAGGGGCTACTGCCCAACCTAAGTGCATATGTAATGTTCACATGCAATATTTTCCAATAATAATCATTCCAACCAAGATTTAAGCAAATCAAAGTTGAAATCTAACATGTCAGGCCACAAAATGAAATGATACCATTCATGCAATTTACCAGAGCCCTTCTCGACTCCACAACACATGCAATGCCAATGTGTATAAAACTGAGCTTTTCTAGCTCCGACCGTTTACCTTCACCCCATGCTATGCAGTAAGTATCAAAATCGGGCTTTCCAAGCCCCCATCATTCGTGTTACACACTCAATGACTATTTAAAATCTTCGGATCTTTCTTGGGGTGAGTATTTATGGACTTACACTAATGGTCACCCAACCGACACGGAATTCATGGATTTTCACTAACGGTTCCGTGTACACCGACACATTTTATGAGCTCTTATACCAACGAAAGTGCGTATTCGAACACCAGACCTCTCACCCGAGGGATAGTTTAGCCCTTCTTGCTAACCTCGACCAAATTCTTTTTCATAAAATTGTACAACTCAGTCGGATATTCAATCCAACTTTTTCGAGCCCACCCATCATCCACTTACGTGGTGTTTGATGCCAACCATGCACCCACACCCATAAAATGCGGTGTCTCCGTGCATATGCAATGTAATTTATCATTGTTATCTCAATGTCATGCCCATATGTTATGAATGTCATATGAGCAATTTTAACCACATGTATACATATATCATGCATATCATCACCAATTTCATCATAATGTCAATATATCAATAAACATATCAACAATTCATTTCCAATAATAAGTCAAAAACATGTTATTTCCTCACATATATACCAATAACTCACTTTGTTTACGAGGTATAATTTAAGCACATAGCATGCCCACACCATATCAAGTTCCATGGAATTACACAAGTAATTACCACATACCAATTCAAACCTAAGAATCTAATTGAAATTAGGTCAATTTCCCATACCCAATTTACCAAATCAATTAATTCCATCAATTCTACATCCATAGGCAAGTGATATATATCTATATCAATTTACCCATTACATAAAACACTCTAGGTTGTAAAATAAACTCAAGTAGGAGAAACCTTACCTCTTGAAGCATAAAGAACGACCATAGGAAGTCCTAAGAACCCGCTTTTAGCTAGAATCTTTTCCTCCCAAAAATCCTGTCCTTGGAATCTCGCCCAAAACCGACCTCCTTGGTATGGTTTTGTAGCCCACGTCGAGGAGAACACCTTTCCTTCTTGGCCCGAGTGGATCCGAGCACCGCGGAGTTGTAGATTGTAGAAAGAAGGTGCAGGATCAAAACTCTTTCCCTCTCTTCTTCTATCGACTAACAGCTGTGTGTGTGTGGGGGGGGGGGG